CCAAGTGCTTGGTGCAGAGCTGTGCCGTCCTGGACCACGTAGCACGTAGAAATAATAGCACGAATGCTTTGTTCGACTCCGCGGTACTTTCTTCTAGAAGTCAAACCGGGTTGACCCTAGAAACGCTGCCGAAAGGACGAAACCTAGTCACTGGCTTCCTCTGACTAGATAAGAGTTCTTACTGAGTGGTGAGGCTCTTCTAATGTCTCTCCCAATGGCCAAAGATAAAGAAGTCCACCTTTCAGCATCGTGTAAGTCATGATCAGGCATTTTTTGTGTCAGGAGGGTCACAAGAGCTGTAGTTGCCCGTGCAAAGCACTAAGAACTCCGCTAGGTGCTTGCGGACACCATAAGGTTTACATAAGGTTTATCGAACACTGAGCACACTACAGAGTAACCCTAAACCCTAACCTAAACCAAACCCAACTATATAGTTAGACTCCGAGGGCCCTTGGGGAGGTAAGGATTCCATCATTTGTTGTCTGCATCAGAGGCCCCTCGTGTCGAAACTAATTCATCGGATTAGGATTTTAAGTTTAGAGGTTTAGGGATTCATCACTTTTGATGACTCCGTAGACAACTGAACTCTGCGCTAAGGCGACATGGTTGGCCGTATGTTCTCGCTTGATTTCAAACGGTCGATCTGGTGACGACACGGAAGACTTTGGCCTCTCTGGTGACATCGGGGTTCGCTGCGGCCGCGAGGAGCAGTTTTAAAATGTCAGAGTTCCCAGCGTAGGCTGCAATTGCAAGAGCTGTGTATCCTTCCCCTCGGATGTCCTGGGCATGATCTCTTAGGGCAGTTTCAGAATTGCTTGGGGTTTAGGGGTTTAGGGCCGGCGCGATGTGGAGATCTGGGTGGGTGAAGGACTGCTGGTTCAGAGTGCTCCCAGAATCATAGATGTCCTAAATTCTTGCAAAGACTGAGAGCGAAATGGACGTTAGAATCCACAACATTTTTCGAGTCCCTTAGTAGAACGCAAGAGCCCTAAACCTAAGGAGCAGCTCCACGAAAACCCGAAACCCTTCAACGCCAAATCGGTAAAAGAAACAGGCCGAGCAGCCCGAACCCTAAACCCTAAGACCACAAAAAAGGGGGACAAAAATGGGCTCACTGGCTCACTGGGAGACCCAGACCCCTACAAAAGGCCCTAAAACCCAAACCCCTTACCCTCAAAGGACTCATGTTCGAAGGCTCTTGGCCCCAAAGACCCTCTGATATAAGGCTTTTGCGCTATTTTGATGCCCCCAACAACCTACCTTTTTAAGGACTTATATGAAGAAATCATACTAAGGAACCCAAAAAACGTAGGTTATTTAGGGTCCGTAAACCCAAAGGCAAATCTGAGAGTCTGGATCAGACTTCGCCTCCAGCAATAATGCAGCGATCGCCATGTCGTTGGCACGTGCTGCTTCTCTCAGAGCCTTTTGGCGATTCGAGCTCTCGGGACGTAAATAGGGTGTTTTTAGGGGGGGGGGGAGGGGGTTAGGTGCCTTTTCGGGATTTCGGGTGTTCGTGTCTTTTCGTGGTGCGCGTCGATTTGCTTTTTGTTATTGCTTTTACTCAGTGTTTGGAAGGTCGAGCGCTTGTGAGTTAGGGCTTATTAGTGATGTGTGTGCGAAGGCTTCCCTAACCGCTTGAGCGTCTCTTGTTCTGTGCCCAAGGATCAACTTCACCGAAGCAGTCCATCAAGTTTGGATCTTGAGGGCGTTGCAAGAGCTGCTCCACCACAGTAGCCGAACCGCTTCTGGCGGCGAGGACGAAATATCTCCGCTGCTCCCATGAAGCACTGCAGAAAGGAAGGAGGACCAACTGTACCTCTCTCTGTCTATAATATAGACCTTTCCCTCCATTGCATATATATATATATCTCTCTGTACATATGCAATGGAAGGAAAGGTCGGCATGAGGGCTTGGCGTTGCGGGCTTAAGGCAGAGAAAAAAGCTCTGTACTTCTGAACCCCAAGTTCAGGGGGAACGAGTGAGGAAGTTGACTTTATAGGCTTGAGCGAGCTTGTTTAAATCCAGGTGCCGACGGTTCGAAGCTCAACAAAAACAAACAAAACCCTAAACCCTAAACTGTAAACGCCCACTCTTTAAACACCTTTCAGAACCGAACCACCTGAGTAGCCAAGGCAAGCCCTAAGCCCTAAACCCTAAACCGTGGTAGGCCCCAAGCCAAGTATGAGTCTCTCGGAACAGAGGAGACCCTTAGTGTGGACCCTAAATGAGCTCCCTATTGCTATTTTCGGTTCAGGGCTCAGGGCGCAGGGTATTTAGGGGCATCAGAATCCCTATCCCAAAACACCACACCCAAAACTTACCCTAAACCCGAAACCCCAAAACCCAAATCCCTATACCCTAAACCGCCGAGGCACATGCAGAGGCAGATCTAAGCTCTCGTGGTCTGCGAGGATGCGCTGCTGAGACAGGAGCCTCTGCCGGAATCGCGGGAGGCCACCTTCGATCCGGGTTTGGGATCTACGGTGTTTAGGGTTTAGGGTTTAGGGTGTAGGGTTTAGGGTTTCAGGGTGTAGGGTTTAGGGTTTCAGGGTTCGGGATCTAGGGTTTAGGGTTTAGGGCCGTTTAGGGTTTAGGATGTACGGTGTTTAGGGTTTAGGGTTCGGGATCTAGGGGGTAAAAGCTCTAAAAGTCCAAATGCCCAAAACATCTCTACTCTATACTCTCCGACACACAACCTGCAAGCATTACTACTCTAAAGTGAAGCGAAGCACTGAATAATGGGGTACTTGGACTCTTGGACCTAGTCCATAAGGTGTAGGGTTAAACTGTTACGCGATCATGGACCTTCTGTGTTCTACAGTCGTCTAAATAACGGGGCAGCCCCGAGAACCTTTTGAGCAACGAAAGGGGTTGCGATCCCATGAATAAAGCCTACACCCTCAACACTAAAGTCGTAGTCTCTACCCATAGGCTCCATAGTAGTTCCCTTTTGGGATTACCTTATAGGATCCTAAATACAAGCCACAAAAAGGGAAGTACTATGGAGCCTATGGGTCGACCCCTACGTCAGAGAGGCAAGCCGCAGGACTTCTCCAAGCTCACCTTGAGTGTCTGCACATCCGTCAGCTCTTCCTCGCTTTTTTCGGATGGAATTCCGACGACTGGGGCTCGACGACTGAAAGATTCGGGCACTGCAAAGGAAATTTTTCCCCAACGCTATATGCCCTCATGGGCCCCCATCCCCCTACCCGAGACTTGTAACCGGAAAGTCCGTTAGGGCTTATTAGGGTTTATTAGGGCTTTCGGGGTTTAGGGTTTAGGGGTTTAGGAGTTTAGTAGGGTTTAGGGTAACTTATGGTCTTTAGAGGAGGTTGAGGTCGTGGGCTTTTGGGGTTTTAGGGCTTGCAGCACCAGGTCGACAGGGAAAGAAGCAACCTGCTTGCCGGATGTGGCCCAGACCTTGGTGCAGACTTGAGGCCACGAAAGCATACAATCACTTCACTCCGAATTCCCGAAGCCTAAAGCATCTAAAAACCAGAACCCCCAAGACAGAAATTTCAACTTCAAAAACACCGAATTGGCGCTAAACTCGACCCTAAACCCATAACCCTGAACCCTAAACCTTGAACCCTAAACCCTAACACTTGAACCCTAAACACTAAACCCTTCTGTCCAGCTGCATAGAGCCTCGAGCCGGTCTCATCCAGGGCACGCTTCGGCATGGCATGGGCGATGGACTTTCGGAGGCTTACACTGTCTAGGTGTAGGGTTTAGGGCTTTGGGTTTAGGGTTTAGGGTTAGGGGGGTTCCTTTAAGGGTTCCTTTAAGGGCTCCTTTAAGGATTCCTCTCTAAGGGCTCCTTTTCGGATTCCTTTATAATGGGCTCCTTTAAGGATTCCTTTGATAAGGTCTCCTTTAAGGGTTCCTTTAAGGGACACTAGCTGGTTTAGGGGTTTTAAGCTTTCAAGCCCCCAGGGCTTGCACATGCAAGCTTTCGGCATTTACACCCTGCTACTGTATGCGGCGGTTGGGATATTTTGGGCATTGGGGTTTAGGGTTTAGGGTTTTAGGGCTTAGGGCTTAGGGATTAGAGTTTAGGGTTTAGGGGTAAGGCGCCTTGAAAGACTTGATCAGATAGCAGTGCTTGACAAAGGCGTTATCCTCCTGCTGACATCGTCAGCAGCATCTTCTCGATACTTACATCAGCACTAACACAACCACTGCCACTAGTACTACTGCATGTGTAAGCCCCTAAACCCAATAGCAAACCACCCTAAACCCTAAACCCTAAACCCCAAACCACCCTATACCCCAAACCACCCTAAACCCCAAACCACCCTAAACCCCTAAACCCCAAAACCCTAAACCCCTAACTCAGCCCAAGACCTCACAAGCTGAACCCTGAGCGAGCGCGCCAAAGAGCAGGGTTTTGCTGTGAACCATATATTTCTATGTTCTAAGTTTCTATACATATTTACCTGAAATTATGCATGAGGGTGTCGAAATCTGAGGGTTCGGGGGTCCCACGATCGGGCTTCAAGCTTTAAGGGGTTTAGGGTACAGGGCCACAGGGCTTAGGCGGCGAAAGAGGCCCTGAACTTTACCCTAAAGCCTAAGGCCTAGACACCTTAAAGCTTGAAGGCTTATAACTTCTAGTAGACCTAGACCCAAACAACCTACCTTTTTAAGGACTTATATAAGGCAATTATAATAAGGAACCCTAAAACGGTAGGTTGTTTGGGGTCCAGGGAGGGCTTATAGCGTTTATAAGCCTTTGGGGATTGGTCTCCAAGCCTAGACCCTAAACTCTATAGGAGAACTTAACTAGGGTTTAGGGTCTAGGATTTAGGGGTTTAGGGTTTAGGGTTTAGGGTCTAGGATTTAGGGGTTTAGGGTTTAGGGTTTAGGGTCTAGGATAGTGCAGGGTTAGAGATGGTTAGAATTAAATCCCCAAACCCTGAAGCGTAGCTGAGGCATTGGCATCCATGGGTTCTTCGAATCCACAAAGGATCTGCTCCTGCTGGACACATTGACGAGACTGGACAGCCTGTAGTCTGCTGGTGTAGGGGGTCGAGGTGATAGGGCTTAGTTGTTTCGAGCCATGCCTTGTGTCTCAACAAGGAGCATGATTGCTCAGAACAAGGAGAAACTGCGTCAGAAAGCTCTAAATGCAGTTGATGTGTTGCGCACCCTGCTTTTCTCGTGACAAGTATCCAATACGTGGTGGTAGAATCCAGGTCTAGGAAAGCTCTACGGCATTAAATCCTAGTTGTCTTACATGATCCGGTCCCCTTGTCACATGCTTTGCACGCCTCCTCGAAGGAGGGCGTCTTCATGGCATGGTTTGTGGGGTTTAGGTTCAGGCTTCAGGGTTTAGGATTGAGTTAACACGTGCTCCTGCGATTTTGAGTTGAGTGTTGGCTCGAAGGGCCCGGTCTTTTAACCTAACAGAACATAGTTTCGGGCAGGACCATGATGCGAAGCTACCCTGCAGAATCAACAAGGTCTCTCCTACGAGCTACGACTCATGAAAGGAAACCCCCCGAGGAAGCTTTCTGCGGCCCTCACTTTAAACCCTCAAAGGAAGCCGCCTGGGAGATCCTAGCAGTTGGTCGCGAGATCCTCTTAGCTTGAAGCTCCTCTGACCTGCACTCCCATAATCTAGGTCTACCTTAGCCGAAAACATACTACGATGCAGACTGCACAGTACCTATTGTTTCCATTGTAGTTCCCTTTTTTGGTTTAACCAACTATATACTATGGATCCTATAGCATAAGCCCAAAAGGAACTACGAAGCAGACTGCACAGTAAACCTCAAAGCCGCGGGTCCAGCTGCGTGGCGGAGACTTGCGTCTGGGACATAGGGCATTGAGGAATTTAACCTAAGCCCTACCTTAACCCCAAATAACCCCCCAAATAACCTACCTTTTAATAAAGACATAAAAGAAGAAATCAGGATAAGGAACCCTACAAAGGTAGGTTCCTTGGGGTCCAGGTAAACCCTAAATCCTGAACCCTAAACCCTAAACCCTAAATCCGAAACCCCAAATCCTAAACCCTAAACCCTGAACCTTAAACCCCTAACCCCAAACGCTCAACCCTAAACCCTGGGAAGGATGTATCTGAGGTTGGCACGAAAAGGATATTGGGTTCGGTGTCCGGGGGTTCAAAAGCTCAGGGTTTAGGGGTGTGGGTTGAATTAGGTGTATAACTACGTAGTAGGGAGAGCAAGAACCCTGACAGTAACGATGGTCATAATCGTCGTCATCGCGGCAGTGAGCGTTGCTGTGGAGGCCGTTTTTGTTTGTTCTCGTCGGTCTTGTTTCAGCAGCAGGAATACTAATAAGCCACACAGTGGTGGCGGCGCGGAAAGACTACCCCTAAACCCTAAAACCTAAACCCTAAACCCTAAATTGACTTTATCTTGGAGCTGGACATCCAAAAAAGCGTAAACAATATCAAAAAAAACATGCGGAAAAGTACCCGGGCATGTTGCTTGGTACAAACGGGATGCACCGAAACCCGAGAGCCCGGGCTCCAAACCGAAGCTCTTGCGATCCTGTGCACCCTAGACCTAAACCCTAAACGCTCAAAGACGCTCATATAACCCTAAACCCTAGTAGCATCTTATCTGAGCTCTACACGCTAAACCCTCGATAGAATCTCATAAGATTCAGGGATTAGGGTTCAGGGTTCAAGGTTAAGGGTTCAGGGTTTAGGGTTTCAGAAGAAAAGAGAGACCTTATTCTTACCTAGACCCTCATAGTGATGCAAGTAGGATCAGAAGAATCGAGAGACCTTATTGGACTTTACCAGTGATGCAGTAGGATCCTTACTATACCTCAACCCCTCAATGCGGCGCCACAAACTGTCTGAACTCCGATTTGCCCGCTCGAGGCCCACAGTCCTTAAGCGGTGGCTGGAGGTTCAGTCTCGGCTTCCACTTCAACCTCAACAAACTCCTCCTCGATGAGTTCGGGGATGTTGAACTCAGGTGCTGTGGAGGGGGCTGAGACCAGAGGGGTATCGAGAGGGATCTCCTCTTCCTCCTCGGCTGCAGGATCTGCTCGCGTCCACAAGATGGCATTCATTTCGGTGTCCCGAATATAAATGATGCATGAGGCCGGGACTGGCTCCCTGCAGAGTTCACCTTCGGGAGCTGGTCTCAAACAACCATGCGTGTTCCAGAACTTCATCTGTGTCGAACACCAGTAACTAGCTCTTGACTGAGGACACGCCAAGAGCAGAGGTCTATGGTAGTTCGTTCTTGTCTAACCCTAGTTCCTATCTTCGAACACCCTCAGTGTAAACCCTAAACAGGCCCTAAACCCTAAACCATGTGTTCTAGCAAAGAAGACCCCAAGCCAAGTCCTGAGATCCCTGAGATCCAGAAGCTCAGGGAAGAAGCCACAGGGTGTGAAATCCCACATCCCCAGAGCAAGCCCTGCTCTTTGGAATGTAACATCCGCAACGGAAGTACTCCAAGAAAGTCCACGCAGACCCTGCGTAGCCTCAAGAAGAGGGTTCAGAGCCCCTATAGACTCTAAACCCTAAACCCAAAAACCCTAAAGCCCTAAACCCTAAAACGCAAAACCCTAAAACCCTAGACCCTAAAACCCTAACTAAACCCTAAACCCCCTAGACCCGATCCCTGTGGAAAAAAAGGGGGCCTGAGACTCTCAGGGCGCACCGCGCCTTTAGGAAGTGGCTGCGGCCGAGGATCCCGCAGAAGGCTTTGGCGACAGGCAGCATCTGCCTAAGGGAGATTTGGGGGTTTCCGAAGATAGGGGACCCTAATATAGTACCCTGAATAGTAGGGTCCTTATTATAATGACCCCAAAATAAGGTACCCCCTAACTTTCGGAAAGATCGGTGTTCGCGTTTTCGGGGCTTCTTTTATCCTTGCTGTGAGAAATCTTCAGGATGTTAGGATGCTAGGCTGTCAGGCTAGCAGTTTAGGGCCTGGGGCTCTACGAGTGGGGCATGTAGCCACCATCGCGTTTCGGCTCGTGCATGTTAAGGGGTCGTTTAAGCCTTGGCTTATGAACCACTGAAGGTGAGGTCTACAGCCTAAACGGGCCTGAACCCTGAACCCGACATGCTTGAGCCATCAGGGTCCAGGGTCAAATGCCTCGGATGTTCCGTTTGGAGCTGTGGAAGGGCTTGGGACCGAGACTGGTCGTTTTCTCAGAGCTGCCGGCTCTGTGCCCAGGGTCGTGTAGGATGTTGTTCATGTTGCATCGACTTTCGAGGAGATGGTGGGTTTAGGGTTTACCTACAGTCTCCAGTGTAGTTCCTGTTTTGGTTTAACACCTAAAAGGTAACCCCAAAAAGGAACTACAATGGAGACTATAGGTGGAGATTTGGGTGTAGGGTTTAGAGCTTCGCATTTGGAGACTCGGGCATAAAATGGTATAAGGCTATAGGGTTCAGGGCTTAGGGCTTAGGGTTCAGGGTTTAGGGTTGCGGGTCTGGGGATTCGGGTATAAGAGGGTATAAGGTTTAGGGTTCAAGGTGTCAGGGCTGTCCCCTCCAAAAGGGCCCCAGTCGTTGCCCACTGGCCCGAATCGAATCTTGTATCTGAGTCCCTTTGGGATGGTTCTTGGAGAAGGGGGGGGGGGCACTACACCCTATGTACACCTAGTTCGCCACGATTGAAGTAGATGATGATCACCCCAGCTCGTCCAGTAGCTTACTTGCACTCGGGCAACCCGAAACCCT